GGGATGGTACAGGATAGTACAAAGTGGGGGAAGGGCCTTCAGCACTAAGGAAAGGGATGGTACAGGATAGTAGAAGGGGGCAGGTCCTTCAGCACTAAGGAAAGGGATGGTACAGGATAATACAGGGTGGGGGAAGGTCCTTCAGCACCAAGGAAAGGGATGGTCGCTAGGATAGTACAAAGTGGGGAAAGGTTCTTCAGCACTAAGGAAAGGGATGGTTTTAGCAAGATTATACATGCTAAGACATGGCCCTCGATATTGCGTATCCAGAACTGTGCCTTGGGCAACTCTACGTTCTTGGATATGCATAGACTTTCCAGAACCCTGCCTGATCCTAACCCTAACACATTCAGGCATAGAACTATGTAGATAGGCACAGTTCTGGATACAATAGAGACTATCCAGAATCTTGCCTGATCCTAACCCTAACCCATTCTGGCTACCCTAACACATTCTGGCATTGAACGAGACTGTTGCACAGTTCGAATCTGGATACAATAGGACCTTCCATAACCGTTCCTAAAAGCCTTATGCAGTTGTGTATAGAACTAGATAGGCATGGTTCTGGATACAATAGAGACTATCCAGAACCGTGCCTGATCCTAACCCTAACCCATTCAGACATAGAATTAGATAGAAGCTGACTGTTCGAATCTGTGTACAATTATGTAGAGACTATCCAGAACCGTTCCCAAAAGCCTAACCCAATTAAATGTGTATAGAACGTAGACATGCAAGGTTCTGGGTATGATAACTGTAACAGTTACATACCTTACAGCACACCACAGCTATCATCAGCACAGTGACTGGAAACCAGCTCATGCTGATGTCAGATCCTTGCAGAAGTTTCGCTGAACTCTGAATTTGACGCTCTAGAATATTCTGACGATGCTGGCACGCTGACTCTTGGCCGGGCTTCTAGAAAGACATTATAAAGACTTTATATCAGTGTTTGACTACACTAATCTCCAAGCAGATCTTTTGGTTGCTATAGTATAAGGCAGGTTGAAATTGACAAAACAGAATAAAAGTTTGGCAGAGTAGTATTCAATGCACTGCCGTTTGGCTGTTGAAAAAAAAGATACCAGTACAGCAAAGAAAACCCGATAAAAATGCCTGAAAACTCGTCAAAAACAAGCTGAACACCAAACCTCTGCTTGGAGAGTAGGCAGTATTCAAAGCGCCACGATTTGACTGGTGAAAAAAAAAGACTACAAAAAACAAAGCCCGATAAAATGATAAGAAACACAAATCAAAAATAAGCCAAAGACCAATCCTCTGCTTGGAGAGTACACTTCTATAGACAGCTGTACAATAGTCTGACTTTAGCCCAGGTTTATACTAAGGCTTTATACGCAAAAACAAAGCCAGGTAAAGCGTTAGAAACACGTCAAATATAAACCAACGACCAAACCTTTGCTTGAAGAGTACACTGTTAGACGTCCGTACAATAGTCTGACTTCATCCCAGGTTTCTACAATTTAGCCTTTATAAGCGAATGTTTGCCAGGAGAAGTGTTCTAAACATAAAAGATACCAGCACAACAGAGAAAACCTGATCAAAACGCTGGAAAACTCGTCAGAAACAAGCTGAAAACCAAACCTCTGCTTGGAGAGTACCACACTACGTGTCGGTTTAATACGACTGACTTTAGCCCAGGTTTCTACAAAGCCTTTATACGCGAATGTTTGCCAGGAGAAGTGTTCTAAAGATAAAAGATACCAGTACAACAGAGAAAACCTGATCAAGTTAAACGCTTTGAAAACACGTCAAAAACAAACTAAAAACCAAACCTCTGCTTGGAGAGTACCACACTAGGTGTCCGTTCAATACAGACTGACTTTAGCCCAGGTTTCCACAAAGCCTTTATACTGTACACGACTGTTTGCCATGAGAAGTGTTCTGTCCGCCCACTGGTGTTTATACTGCTGTATAGGGCAGGTCGGTGCTCCAGCTTTATGAGTTAATAATCGCAGCATGATGGGGATGTTTGTCCTGCACTACGGGTG